GACGTGTCACGGACCTGTTTCCTTCAATCCACCCTGCTTCATGAGGTCATTCTCTAACAGCAAGCCGAAGCCTCAGCCGGAACACGAATTCCAATAGGCTTTGCACATATATGAATATAGATATAAACATATATATGTATAGATGTATATATATATATGTGTGTGTGTGTGTATACGCATACTTGTGCATGTGTATATCTATGTGCGTATGCTCACTCCGCGAAGTGAAATTTCAGAAATCGAAATACTCAATCTTTGGATTCGCTGAGTTGTTCGGCGATACACTCAGCCGGCCGCGAACAGCAGAAGGCACATCTATGCAATATTGATGTTGTCAGGACTGGAGCACAGTAATTCTGCCCGAATACTCTTTCTCTAAGCTCTGGGAGCATGTAGCGCGATAGGTTTACTTTTGTGCGTGTGGGTGTGTAGAAATGTGCACAGCCGTGCCTGAGCGGAAATCCCAATGAAGCCAAACCTTAAACCCCTAAGCCAGGTAAATCTTAACTACATGGGCGTAGAAACGTGTTTCATCGAGACTATGTTGGGAGCTAGGATTAGGGGGACCCTTGGGGATATAGACCTCTCAATAAGGTCCCATTTAAGAGAGCCAAAAGTAGGGTTCAGAAGGGGGACCCTTTAAGGGGTACCTCTAATAATACTCCCGATATGTGTGCCTCAGGACTTCAGACATGCTGACTTTCCTTTCGAGCCCCTATACTTACAGCAGGCTCTGCATGTCTACTTATCACAAAAATGGCCCCATATCAATGTGTGTGTGTGTGCAAGTGTGTGTGTGTGTGAGTAAGTTAGTAATCTGCAAGTAAGGAAGGGCGGCCTGTGTGGGCACACGGCATGCGTGCATCCACCCGCACTCGTCGTACTGACACAGGAGTTTCCGAAAATAGGGGACCCTAATATAGTACCCTAAAAAATAGGATCCTTATTATAAGGACCCCAAAATAAGGTAACCTAATTTTCTGAAACTCCCACACAGGAGTCAGCTTGCTGCCGGAGCTGCGCACTCGAGTCGACGCTACCACCGAACTCATGGAGCCGCCTGCCGTCTGCTAGTAACAGGGCAGCTAATGTAGGGGCCTTAATAATTAGAATAGGGTTTTGGGGGTCCTTTGTATTATACTTATAATAAGGAACCCCCAAAATAGTGTTGGTAATTATTTAAACCCTCTCCAGCAAACACACCAAACTAGACCCATAATAAACAACAACCCTAAACCCTAAACCCTGATGCGTTCAATGTCACGCGGTTGGGAACATGACATCAACAGTCTGATCATGTCACAGACTCCAGTAAGCCCCGAGTCCCTAAAGCCCTGAAGCCCCAGGCTTGCAGCAGATGAAAGACTTTATGGTAAAACATAGAAAATAGTTTAGTAATTATTGTATAAGTATAAGTATAGTATAGGATGATAATAGTACATAACAGTCCAGTACAGCATAGTATAGTAAATTATATAGTATGGGCCTCTGCTTGGCGGCCCAGGAGTTATCGGAGACCAAGAGTTTGCCTTTGGACTGTGTCCTGTGCAGCTTTTGCTTTGAGAGGGGGGTTCCCTAAACCCTACACCCAAAAACATGTACAGTAGCAATAACACTACTAAGGGGTTATGAGCTTAATGCATCTAGCTTTCGAAGCCAGCCCTTTTTGTTTTTTTTCAGGTTTCGGGTGTAGTTGACGGTTGAAGGGTTTGGGGATCTGAACGAAGCTCGATCTTCGAAGTCGCTCTTTCGAGAGCTCGGGTTACTAGAACATCTTCTTCGGTGGAGAACCACCTTGCTGAAGCCTCATCTCCGCCCCTCTTCTCTTGAAATGCTATATTATCACCGTTCTTCAGCCGCGAGTTGGGAAGTTCAGACTCAATGGCAGCTCTTGGGCTGCAATGTGGCGCAAGGGGTGCATGAACTCAAGCAATCCAGGTCCTCTGACTGCCGATCGGGGTGGCCCTTTCCTGCGCCAAAGAAGGGTCGATAAGTACTCACGTTGTGTTTCAGGGGCTCCAGCGTGAAATTATGAAGACCAGCCTCACACATCGGAATCTCGAGGCAACCACTTTCTGTCCACAACGATGTCTTGTATTCGCATACATATGCAGTACAATATAGTTTTGGCTCCCACTTGGCACCGTCAGCGCGCTGATATATATATATATATATGTCTATACGAGCAGCCCAGCGGCAACAAGAAACGAACTCTTCCTGGGCCCACTCCCACACTCCGAAACCTCCACAACCCTTTTGCCAAGCCCTATACATAAGCCAACATGCAAGTTTGAATAGCCTCCAGGTCTCTTTCTGGGGTTCCCTCCATGCATTTACGGCACCCACGACGCGAAGGGCTTCCTTACTTCCCAGTGCCACCTGCGTCCGCCAGGATGCCTCAGGAGGACTGACCTCGACTGGCTGCGTGCGGTACCTTGGCACGATTGTTCTCGCAGCCCTCAGAGCTATGAACATGTGGACATACCTAAGTTGTTGATTATGCATAAACAGATCGGGCAGAAGAGGGACAAAGAGGAAGAAAAGCATGCCCAAAAGACTTCAGGCTAATTGATTTAAAGACTCAGAGTCAAGCCTTGAGTCACTTCGAGCTCGAAACTTGCAGACCCTAAGCTCCATGTCCCGTACTCCCCAAACCTGGTACCCTAAAGCCCCGAAGCTTCCTTGGGAGCCATGTCGAGGATTCAACTTTCAGGCTTCCCTGGGAAACTGAAGGAAATCTGCATTGCGGCAAGGTCTCGTGAGCGACAGGCCGGCAGGCTGAGTTGAGTTGGCTCAGGTCTATGTTACAACCATGTTTCAGTTGAGAGTCAGCGAGACGTTTTTTCAGATGCGAGTCCAAGAAAGCCAAAAAAGGCTTAGCCGGAGCACAAGACAGTGGACTGCTCGTGCTCCAGGACCCACTCTCGCCACTGCAACATCTGCCTTGAACAGCTTATGATCGTGGCACATGAGATGAATACACAAACTGACCGCGGCTAAGGGTGTCTTGATGGCAACTGTTCCGCTGCTGCGTGGCCTAAGTTTTCCACCCGCACGACGACTCTGCCCTAACAGGGGGCAAGCTGCGACAGCGTACCTAACGTTTCAATAACACTAGGCCAAACCTGAAGCCATACTATGGGGCCTTGATAGTAAGGAACCCCCAAAACAGTATAGGCAATTATTTAGGCCCCTATATTAAACCCAAATCCCCAAAGAGGACCCCTCGTGCCTCAGGCTGAAGACTGCTTCTGACGAGACTGGCCCGACCGGGTCCTCATTGTCCACCTCCTCTAGGGTTTAGGGTTTAGGGTTTAGGCATGCAGCAGTGCCTGCAGCTTCGACAACGGTATGAGAATGACAAGTGCAAAAGTAGACACACAGACCTACATGTACTGAGTTGCTTAGTCGGGTGTCGATCTGTCACTATCTGCCTGGTTGGCTGTCTGTCTGGCCTATGTACATGTGTGTGTGTGTGTGTGCGTATGTATGGCTCTTATGTTTGTATGCGTGTATGATCCGTGTAGAAATCCGTCGCGGTGTACATAGCTCAACCCTATGCCGTTGAGCATGTTGCAAATGATGCGGGTCGGGCCACACCATGCCAGGACAGGACAAGTTTCCGAGTAAGTGCCTAGCCGGCTGTTCGAGCGCCCTTGAATCTGGCGTAATGTTATCGTCCCTTTAATAAT